TACTGTGACAATATTGTCTTCTCTGCTAGGTATTGCATATGCCTTGCTTGTCTCATTAAAGAAAATTTTGTTGTGCATACTATTCATCACCTCATATGCCCTTCTTGTAAAAATTGTATTAAGGCTTCCTCTGTATTCTTCTGGCAGATTCTATTCATGTTGTACAACCATTTTCTATGCTTTTATGTCACGTGTTGTATCCAGATTAGGCTAGTTGATGTACATGTTTGTTTGTTTATTTTGCTTATACTAGTGCAGTTTCTTGTGTAACTTGAAGGATCTACAGTATAGGGTTTTGGCATTCTCCAATTTTCAGAAAAAAAAAAAAATTTTTTACTTTTAATAAAAAGGTTTTTATATGCTGTTCTTTGTTGGCTTCAAGGCTTCTTTTTGTATTTTCTGTTAAATTATATGCAGTTTTTGCTGCTCTGTTTTTTTTGTTAGTATCTCAAGTCTTGTTTTCTAGTCTATTTATTGAGTTTTACTAAATTTTGCTTCCTGAAAATTTTGGTCGAGGGATCTGCAGGTGAGAGTTGACTATTTTTTTTTTCTTTACTTTCTTTTTTTGATTTTTTAGTTTCTTTTTTATTATTATATAGTTTAATAATTTTTTGACTTATTTCTATAAGTTTTATATTTGGATTTGTTTGTATTTTAATTTTTAATTTCAGTTGTCTTAATCTTAATTATTAATTTTTCTGTATTTATTAATAAATATTTTTGATTTAAAATACTAGTTTCAACTATAATAATAAAATCTTTTATATTATTAATAATATTTTAATATTTTTTTATTATTATTTTACTTATTATTTTTTTTGTTTTTATTTTTTTGAACCTATTTGTTATATTATATTATTTAAAGTTTTTTTTTTAATTTTATTTTCTTCTTTTTTTTTATTATTTCTATATTACTCATATTAGTTATATAGTTAATTGAATTTAGATTAAGGTATATCATTTGTTTTTATTATCTATTTCTTAATAATGTTTTTTTAAGACTTTTAATTTTAATTTGTCTTAGAATCTCAAGTACTTGATCATAAATTAATAAGTCTTATTTTGTAATTTTATTTAAATTACTGATTACTAAACTGTATATTATTTGTTCTATATTATTTGAATTATATAGTATTGTATCTTTAAGTACTTTAATTAACATATTGTTGTCTAAATAACTAAGATTTTTTTCTTTCATTTCTTAAATAAACTTAAGTAACTCTTGTTTGTGTAATTTATTCATCTTAATCTCAAAATTTAAACTTAAATTAATAATTAATTAGTATCTACTTATTATAACTACTATTATTATTCTAAACCTTCTAAAAAAACATGTATTCTTTTTTGTTATTATTTAGATTATCTAATTTTGTTGATTATCTCTGATTTTTATTTATTTGTTAAAAATAGAATATGTACTATTGTTTGTTTACTTTATTGTTTACTTGTTTTTATATAATCTAATTTGATCTGCTATACAAAATCTTTAATAAATTTCTAATTTTATAAAAAAATTTTATAAAAAAAAAATCAAACAATTTCTATATTTTAAATTATGATTAAAAAGAAAACTATTTTTAATAAATTTTATATTATTTTTTGTTTTTTTTCTTAAGTTGTTAAAACAAGTTTTCTAAATTAGTTTTGACTAATTGCTGTTATTCTTGTTTTGTTTGTTTTTTAAAAAAAAAATTAGCAGAAAGAGTTTTATTTTTGTGTATAATTTTTATTTTTAAATATTATAAAATAAAATTTTATTTTAAATATTTTAAAAATTTTAAAAATATATAAAATAAAGTTAATAAAAATAAAATAAATTTATTTAATAATTTGATACATTTTTATTAACTTTATTCTATATATTATAAGTATATATTTAATAATTTTTTAAACAAATTTGATTGAAATTGGTTTATAGTTTAAAAAATAACTAGTAATATTAGTCAAAAAATTTTAACATTATATAATTATATTGCAAAACCAAGAAAAAAGTTCTATCAAGAAAAATATTTTATTATTAGGTTAGAATTAGAGTACTGCAAATAGATTAAATTTAAAAAATTATAATAGGAGAGAATGAAACCCGCGCTGTAAATTAGTAAATTAGTAAAACCCACTATGTAAATCAACTCATACAGAAGAATCCTCAAAATTCCGGGTCAGAATACTTCGAATTTAGCCTGGCATTTAGTTAGCATTTAGTAATACAAGTTAACCATTTTTGGGCCAAAATTATCAGCTGGGCAGCTTTACTTAATGAGTGAGCTATGGTTTCATTAGTAAAACTTTTAGTGATCTTGGGCAAAATTAGTTAATTCCGGCCCTGCCGATCATGATTCCGATGTATTCCGACCCGGAATTTTGGGGATCCCCCTGTATAAGTTTATGTAGATCATGTTAGGGTGAAATCCGCGTTTTTTATTATGCAAAAGCGGATTTCACCTTCATGTGATCTGCATAGAGGATTTTACTAATTCACAACGTGGGTTTCACCCTCTCCTATTATAATTTTATAAAAAAAAAACCATTTTATTAATACACGTTACATCTATACATGCTGGACAAATCCCAAACCCTAAAAAAAAATAAATAGCATTTATAAAAAATTGAATTAAAAAAAATAATCTTTAAATTTCACAAATATATTATATATAAGAATATATACTGTTCATTTAAATGAAGATTAGTAATAAACTTTTTAAGATATTAATTTGGCCAGAGTTTGGGATTTGGGCGCGGCCAGCAAGTATAGTTACACCTGATTTCGAAATTCAATTGGCCAGCGAAATTTTTTATACTGGCACGTATCTTAAATACTGTTCAAAAAATATCGATTTCCCTAAAGAATATCGATTTACATATAATCACTGTCGCTGACGTACATATGTAAGTTCGTGACCCTTTAATTGGCGATTGTGAAACTAGAATGGTCATGAGAAAACAAAAAATTAGGGAGTACGTACATGAATATTATACTTATATGTACACCATATATCTTTTTAAAAAAGATAAACTATTTTATACTGTACGTTGATATACATAATAACTGATATTTTTAATAAGTACATATATATAGCCGAATATGTCGTTTTATTACCTAAGAGATGTCTGTAAATTCTTAATTTTGATTGGTTGTTCATAATGCAAAATAAACAACCATGTGTGTAAAGGATACCATTAAGGTTGGTATTATAGGTAAAGTTGCTCCTCCGGCATTTTTTTTATCAGTGCTTTAAGCGGGTTTAGACACTCGGTTCTTGTATTTTCGGCTCTTTTTTTGCTTCGTAAAAATTTATGCTTTTTCCCAAAATAAGGGATCCCTTAAAGCGGGGTAGATTTCATATATTGATCTACATACCGCATAAATTGTATTCTTGATATCTAAATAACCAACTAACCCTAACTGTATCAAAAACGTACCACCTTATGCGATATCTCAAAAACGTACTAAGTAAACGGGATCGGGTACTCTAAGTAAAAATGTTCGGGACCCCAAAACCTTACGAGAACTGAAATCGGGACCTTATATCTAATATATATATATTGTTAAAACTATATAGGTGTTATATAACATGGATGATAATATTTCATATAATAATAATACAAAAGTTATAAATCACGCCTGTGGTGTTCTGAAATTCGGGTAACGTGTAGATCAAAATAATTTTTATTAAATTTTTGATTAATATTAGAAAGCAATGGCATAGTTTATACGTACCAAATTTTGCAAGGAATTTTTTTTTTGTTAGATCCTCAAAGATCATTTCATAGATGAATTTTTGAGTTACAGACATTTTTGAACACCAGCGGGTGTGATTTAATAATGCCGTAATAATAAATAATATAATTTTATAGTGTTCAGGCTTCAGACTTTACCAAATTAGAGAGGGACACCACATCTAGGTACCGGGTTAAATTGTTTGCTTTTGTGATTAAATATAGAATGTTGGCACTTGGATAATCAGTTGATTTTGTAAAGCGCCCCAGTGTTTTCTAATTTTCAAATTAAACACTTTAGAAATTATTCCCACGCATCCATATCATCTGATTACTCGATTGGGCACATTTACCATGCTCAAGACCCTACTTCATAGATATAATTACTTAATATTTCTCATTTCTTTACATACTTAGTGCATTCCACATGTATGTATGTACGTACATCATAATTTATGTTTTCTTAAATCATTCGTGATTAGATTATCATATGAACCAGTACCCGTTCCATATTATGTGCTTATTTTGAGTTTAGTACCTGTATCACTAAATCAATTCATTTGATTGTTACGTTAACATATTTAACCGTTTAAAAAAGGTCTCGATCAAACAATGCGAGACATTATTTTCTATTTTTTTATTATTATTTTCTTTTGAAATGGAGTCTGTTTCTTCTCAAATTTCTCAACCTCTTTTAAATTCTAAACAAAAGACTCCTTCCTATCAAAGCATAGATAATGATGAAATACTTGAGGAGGAATGTTTGTCCCAATGGGATATGATTAAACTAACACTTTGCATGGCCGGTTTACAATTTGCATGTAAGTAGTCTATTCTAGAATGTACTTCAAAAAAACATTTTCAAATAGTGAATTTATTTTGCTGTTGTTGTTGTTGAAGTTTTGATTTAGGGTTGGAATTTATTCTTCTATATCGTTTTTTTTTAAATATCAAAGTCTTATATTCTATCTTGTAAAAAAATAACTTTAGGGACTGTTGAATTTTCGTGAGTACTTTTGGGTATTGATTTTCAATTTCCAAAAAAGTTATTTTCAAAGTTGAATTTTTGTGAAATGTGAATCTTTTCTTAAGTATGAATATTCCTTTAAATTACTAGCTATGGAACACCGTATTTAGTGTCATTAGGGTTATCACCTGAGCTGATAGCTCTTGTATGGTTTGCAGGACCACTGTCCGGATTTGTGATACAACCACTCGTTGGTGCATTTAGCGACAAATGCACCTCTAGAATAGGTCGTCGAAGACCATTCATTATTATTGGAGGGTTGTTAGTTTGTATATCTATGGTCTCTATCGCTTATTCAAAAGAATGGGCTGCGGCCTTACTTGGAAAAAAAACAACTATTAAATCAAATGACCATGAGGTAATCTCAAGTTTATTTATTAATCGTAATTCTTATTATTTATAATAATAGCATCTAAGTTTTCGTTCTCAATATAATAGCTTAAAAACATGGCAATTATTATCGCAGTCGCTGGATTTTATTGTTTAGACTTTTCTTTAAATGCTGTTCAAGCCTCCATACGTGCTTTGATTCTTGATATTCCTCCTGTTTATCAGCAAGAAGCTGGTAATGCATGGGCTGGTAGAATGTTGCATATTGGAAATATTGCTGGATATTTCACCGGATTTTTAGATTTATTGGTTTTGTTTCCGTTCTTAGGAGACAGCCAACTTAAAGTTTTATGTGTAATCGCATGTATAGTGTTTACTCTATCATTACTTTACACATGTTTAAATGTCAGAGAAAAAGTATATGAACCTGTAGATGATGATTCCAGGTGGTTACCTTATATCCATTTTATCATAGATAGACCTACCATAAATCCTCGAAATAGCGGGCATGGGCATTATTTAGAATTTTGGCCCGAATTAAGCCTGCCATTTCGGAAATTTACGGTATTTAAATTTTTTAGTGAATTTTATAAAATTTATTAATTAATTTTATTTGTTAGTTCGTTGTATAATACATTTTTGTATATATATAAAGCAATTAGATATCTTCCATCTCCCATTCAAAAAATTTGTAACGTTCAATTCTTTTCTTGGATGGGTTGGTTTCCTTTTCTGTTTTTCAGGTAAGCAATTCTTCGTCAATCTATTCAAATCCCTTATGTACCTATAATATTCACGCTTTATACCTTGTCAAGCTCGAGTTGGATAGCATCTGTATATGCAAGAACCCATTCGATTGATGATCCTGATTTCTTTGACAAGTCAACTCGATATGGATCATTTGCGTTGTTAATGTATTCATGGATTTCTTTTTTGGCCGGGTTTATTATTCCGCAGCTTACTCCAACATCCCCTTCAAGCAAAAACCCTTTCACCATTTACAACATTTATACAATTTCTCACATTTTGTTTGCTTTGATAGCGTGGAGTACATTATTTGTTAATAATGTCGAACAGTCAATCTTCCTTATTGGTAGTTTTGGTATTCCCTGGGCCATATCAATGTGGATACCATTCGCATTGGTTGGTGAGTACGTAAGGCAAGAAGATGAAATACAAATACAAGAAAACACTGAAGTTAGACCATTAACAAATAATGATATCGAGCAAGAAGCTTCTATGAGTTTAGAGCTTTCTCCAACATCATCATCTGCTGCTACTACTTTGCATAGTGAAGATGAAAAGTTTGCTTCAGGGATGATATTGGGTGTACATAATTTATATATTGTATTACCTCAATTAGTTGTATCTTTAACCAGTTCTGTAATTATTAAGCTGATAAATGATATTTCTGGTGCAGATAATAATGATGCATTTGGTTGGGTTTTTAGATTTGGTGGTGCAATGTCTATAATAGCTGCGATATTGTCACGATATCTCGATAAATTAAATGTTTATCGCAGATAAATTTATCCATAAATTTTAAAGTTTAAAATTTGGTTTATAACTTATTATGAACTGTTCACTTCAAAAACAATAGTGATAGATAGTCGTTCATTTCATACTATGTTCGTAGATAGTCGTTTAATTCATTATATTCATTATACATCAAAGTAATTGTAATAGATGAAATAAACAGAGATACCCGATAAGAAATAAATCCTTTATGATTACTGGTTAAAAAAAAGTTATCATTATCAATAGTGTGCACGTTTCTAATTTGGGATTGGTTTGTTACTATTAAAATTTTTAGTTATATTATAAAAGGTTTTTTTATATTTTTTTTCCTTCTTTCTTTGATAAGCTTTTGTGTTCGTATCTAATTTATTAAAGCTAATCTTTGATGATAGAAAGCGGAATTTCTTAAAAATAACTTTAAACGTCGAATATAAAACTTACCAAAAAAGTAAAAATATTAAATAATGGCAACGGGACCTGCTTCAAAAAGTAAACGAAATGTAGGCTCTAGTGCTAGCCTTCATCGTAACAATGTTCCAACTCGTCTTGACATCCCAACCACCGCCCTTACTCCTTCCTCTTCAGCACCTTCATCTCTTTCTCCACTTGTTGTCCCAGCTCAGGCTTCAAATGGTCAGATGTTAACTAACGAACTTAAGACCGCAATTTGTGCAAGTGCAAGTGGAAGAATAACACCACAACCCTTTGAAAGCGATTCAAGTGGATTCTCGAGAGATGATGTACTTCCACTTGACGATGATTCTACGAAAATCAACTCTGCGCATTTGCAAGAATTAGAGAAACTAGGAGAAGGATCTGGTGGTACGGTGACCAAAGTATATAATACGGCTACAAAAGTTTTAATGGCCAAAAAGGTATAGTTTTTGATCCTGCGATATACTTTTGAATTAATAGTTTTTAGTTCGGAGCTTACATTGGATTGTATAATAATTCTCAGATTTTCCCTGGAAAAATCTAAAAAAAAATTTGTAATTTCATAAACATTAGAAAATCAACGTTGATCCTAATATACATAAACAACTTCTTCGTGAAATCCGATTCATTAGTAAATGTCATTCACCAAATATCGTTACTTATTATGGAGCTCATATGGAAGATGATAATTCTTCAATTTCTATCTTGATGGAATTTTGTGAGGGTGGAAGTTTAGATGTAATTTATAAACATGTTAATCAAAGACAAGGAACAATTGGTGAACCAATCTTGGGAAAGATTGGAGAATCGGTAAAAATTCATTTATTTGATTTAAACATTTAATACTTTTTTCTTAATTTCTGTCAATTAATAATTTTTTTTTATTGTTCTTATCAGGTATTGAAAGGATTGGTTTATCTTTATGAACAACATATTATTCATAGAGGTAATATTTATTCTTTTATATGGGAGAAGCCGATAAATTTTTTTAAACTTTGAACAAAAAAATAATTCAACAAGAACTTGAACAAATTTCATAAATGTTTTTTATTTTTTTAAACCAAATTTCATTAATTGTCTAGATCTTTGTTGAATTATTTTTGTTTAGTTTTAAAAAACAATTCACAAAAAAAAATTTGCTTGGTTTCTATTGACTCACTTCTATATTATGAATTAATTGCTATTTAATATATTTATGTAAAAATTTTTTTTTGTATTTAACAGATATAAAGCCATCTAATATTTTGGTAACAAGACTCGGTGAAATAAAAATTTGTGATTTTGGAGTGTCAGGTTATTTAGAATCATCATCTGTCAACACTTTTTTGGGTACTAGTTATTATATGGCCGTAAGTAAATTACTTAGATAAATCATGAAAATTTTTTTTTGTTAAAAGAATTTATCAAATACCTTAACGTTATATTAGCCTGAACGTATTAAAGGTCAAAAATATAAAGTATCAGCTGATGTATGGTCTTTAGGATTGACGATAATGGAAGTCGCACAAAACAAATTTCCTTATCCTACTGTTGCTCCAATTGAATTAGTTGCACATATAGTCAACTTGCCAGCACCTGTGTTAGGTGATGATTACGAATGGAGTAGTGAGCTTAGAGATTTTTTGAACGTTTGGTAATTGAAATTATTCACTTTACAATTATAATAATTTAGCATCTTAAATAATATTTTTAATACATTATATATATACATATTTAAAAAGTCTGGAAAAGGATGGTGAGATAAGACCAACACCAAAGCAAATGCTTGATCATCCATTTATTCAAAAATCATCAAGTAGAGAAGTTCCTTTACGAAAATGGATTAAAGAAGTTTGGGAATGGGATGATTAAATGTAAGTTATAAATGCTATTATAATTAATTAATTCAAAGTGTCATTTTGTAATTAAAAAGATTAAAGCGATTTTTCTTTTCTTATAGGGTTCATTTCATTTTGATTTTATGATTTTATGATGTAATAATGTGCAAACTGTATACATTCAATAGTTTGTCTTTTTGAATTGGTTTTTTTATTGGGGCCATTGTATTTATATCACCCCATATTAATATATTTCTTTTGTTTATCAAACTTTAATCATGATCTAATGTTGAACGCAGTATGAATGAATTATTTATGTTAAAAAAAAAATCATAATAATTTTTGATTACTGATTATGCGTAAAGAACAAAAGACAAATTAAAAACCAAGGTTCTAACTCTAAAGAAATTGGCCTAATATTATTTACATCATTATTTGTAAATTACAAAATTATTTGTAAAATCGTATTAAAAAATTATCACAAAGTTATAATTTCAATATCTTTTTTTTTTTTTACCACTAGTTTTATAATATTTATGCAGAACAATTATACTCTTACTCTCAACATCACCATTTGAAATGAACTATTGAATTGAGACTTGATTCTTTATTATTTGTTCATTAATTATCACTTTGATTTAACTATCTTAGCAGGAGTTGAATCGTCAGGTTTGTTTGAATACGTACAGTTTTCATTCTCAGGAGCTTCTTTATCGGTACAGTCAGACCTCTATATAGACACACCCTAACTCTATATAAGAACCTAATTTTACTGTAAAATATAGAAAAACCTTTATATAAGCTCAATCTCTTTATAAGCACATTTCTAACTACGTGATTATAGAGAGGGTTGACTGTACTTTGAAGGCTGTTCAGATGGAGGATGAAGTGGATAGAGTTCCGAACCGGATGCAAAATCGTCACCCGGATCTGAAATCGGGTGAACCGGTTGAAAATGGTTTGAATATATCTTGACGGTGAGAATTATGGATGATTGGTTTTATTTAAATTTTCGAGGGTGGAGTTCGATTCGATATTATCGAAAAAAAAAAAGATTAAGTTCGAATCTGAGATCCGGACAATAAGCATGAAAAAAAAATATAATCGGTGAATAGTGTT